CCACCAAACCGGTGATAAAAATGTTTGAATCCCACCACTGGAGTAGATCCATTGGGAACAATTAAGGAGGCAGACCTAGACTGAAGTTTGTCTTGGAATGGCTTGAATACCATTAATGGTTGGAGTGCCAAGTTTGAGAGTGCTGATTAGTGTGTGTGTGTGTGTGGGGGGCACCAGGGGTATTTTTTGCTGACAGACACAATAGCTGTGGTGGGGTTTGATATGGAGCTCTTACCAAACAGCAATGGTGTTCGCTGGAGTTGGTGGGAGAAGGCTGTACAAAACATATAATAATAGAGTTGGAAAGGACCATGGAGGTCTTCTAGTCCAACGCCCTGTCTATGGCAAGAGATTCTATACCATTCTGGATAAATGGCTGTCCAGTCTCTTCTTGAGAAACTTCAGTGATGGAGCACCTCCAACTTCCGGAGGCAAGCTGTTCCACTATCAGGACATTTCTCCTTAACTCTAGATAAGATCTCTCTTTAATGATCTTCCAACCATTACTTGCTGCCCTGCCCTCACGTGCTTTGGAAAATAAATTGACCCTCTCTTCTCCGTGAGAGCCCCTCAAGTACTAAATGACTGCTATCATATCACCCCTAGTCATTCTCTTCATTAGACTAAACATACTGTACCTAGTTCTGTCAATCATTCATCATGTGGTTTAGCCTTTTTTGATCCTCGGTGGCCGTAATCTCCAGCTACTGCTATTAAATGTCAGTTTGGTATGACTTGACTGGGGAGAAATTCAGCCAACTTGGCTAGCATAACTGAGATTTGGAGAGGCTGGATGGCTGGGGAGGTATCTAGATTTTGCACTTGGCATCAGCTGTAAAAGTAGGGAAGGAAGGATGGGACATTAGTATGACTTGGGGGGGGCTTTGTGCTAGATGAATAGAGGCTCTAGCTGAAATTGAGTCCTTGGAAACAGTTCAATTTATCGCTACCTTATTGGCTTCCCAGCTACATAGCAACTTTTCTACCTGGACTGCTAAACTCCATTGCTGATAGCAATTGGTTTGAGGATTCACATGTCCCTGGATAGTGTTGGGCTTGGAGTTGCTTGGGACCATGCCCACTATGATAAACATGGAGCTGTTCAAAATTATTGAAGAATTAATACATGTTTAAGATTACACATTAGATCTGGTTTTTATATCAGGGCATTTCTAATATGATCTGAAGGTGAAGGATATTACCATTAGTTCTTTGCCATGCTCGGGTTCCGTTCTGTTCACTTTTCTGCTTCTCCACATGAACATACTGTACTCCTTGCAGGAAAGTAAATCCTATTAGATGACTCTGACCCAGGAAGACTTGAAGACTCGTGGGTTTTTTTTTCCTGAGCATCTGATGGACTCTTCACCTGAGGCATGGTTTTCTGACCAGAATTGGCAATGACAAGGATCTTGGATCACATTACTCTTATATGGCCTCTATCTATGTATACAGCTTTGAGAGTTGAAACATCTGAAGAGATGACTAGAATGTCACTGGAGGAAGAGTAAATCCGACTGAATTTGTGTTACAAGTTCACGTTAGAGATTATACCATGCTGATAATACCAGTGAAACACAGTTATGTTCACCCTTACCCATCCACTAATAGTCAACCACCAATCCTTTATCTAGTGATCCACTTCTCAAAGGGCAGAGATCAGCATTAGGATCATCTAATGAATCTCTGAAAAATATTCTAGTTATCTAGCAGATAACGTTACTCAGATTTACTTGGAGTAGAATGATAACAAGAGATGAAAATCATCTTTTTGTAGCACTGTACAGATGTAAAATTCAACATTTAAAATCTATCTAGAACTAAACAGCAAATTAAGTCTACTTGGGGGGGGGGGGGGGCGGCGGAATTTCAATGCTCTGTTTAAAAGTGAATACATAGTTCCCTTTGTTAAATTGATGATTTTCTAATGACAAGTCTTAAATCCTTTATTGCAGGACTTTAGAAAGGTTTTAAAAGCCAATTTGATTAATTGCTTTATTATGATTTGGAGTTTTATTGATTATGATTTTAAAACTAGATGCATGCTTTTTTTTAGTTTTGCTGCATTTTTATTACCTAAATTTAATATTATTACATTGTTATCTTGAATTTTGAACCTTAATATGTGGCTTAAAATGTGTGGTCACAAAACGGAGGCTGAATATTAGAAAGCTAACTATCTGGCAATTCCTTTTATACTATGTCCAACATGAACTTGATTTATATTAAAGGTCAACAGCAACCACCCTGGAAGCTGGCAGAACACTATAGCTGCAGTTCAGTTAATAATTCTGCAAATGTAGAATTTTCTGTAAATGGGCAGCTGACAGTTTGTTTTTCTAGAAAACAGCACAGCTGGCAATATGTTTTTCCATCTCATTCTACTAGCACAACTTTATTAAATAAAATAAACTGGAAATAAGTCATAGATCTCAAAAAGTGTGTGTGTGTGTAGATTTAAATCTTTGAGGAAAAAAACCCCTTGATTTATTGGCATGATTTGTGTTAACTGAAATCCAAATGATAAAAACTGTCATTTTGGATATAAAGAGATTTGTGAAACAGGAAAATACAGTACATTGGCAAAGTTGCAAATTTTTTTAGAAAAGCACAGGAAGTCTTATGAAAAGAATATAAGCAAAATAAGAAGCATGCCTGCAAAGGTCTAATCTAACTACTTGCTATTCTAATTGTGGCATACTTAAGCATCTGAATATGGAAAATACTACCCTGATCTGTAGGTTGTACCAGTTAAATGATTGCTTAAAAAGGAAAACTCCTCTGGTAACCGCAAAATACAGACAAATCGGAAGGCAGTTTTCTCCCATTGCATTAACTCTTTTCAGTTTCATTCTCTTCTATACAAAATAATAATTAGTTCTTTGTGGCCATGGATTCCTTTGTTTATACTGTTTTTACAGTACTTTTTTGCCTGGTTTTAAAAATCCTGGCTCTAAAATGACTAAAGTCACTATCGTTACATCATTCTGCTGAAAAAATGACTAAAATATCTTTCATTCAGTTATAATTTTTCCTTTCTTTCTCTCAATTAAAAGGCATTGTAGAGTTACTCTCTTTCAATTCTCTACTCAATGCAGAAGTTACAACATTGGATGCAAATAGCAGCCTGGCTGCATTTAAATATCTCCAGTCAAAGAGAGAGGCCAATATCTAACAGTAAAGGAATAGGCAGTCAAGGAATATGCACAGACCAGCACTTGGTAGAGTAGCCATGAAGGCCTTGGAAAAAGTATTAGATGCTACAATGTGCTTATACCTATACAGATCAGAACTCTATGGAAGTAAAAGTTAGACTTTGAAGAAGCAACATATGAAGAGTATTGATACTGTTGAAATTCTATGTCAAAGAAGATTCCAGAGAATACCCTTGACAGCTAAGAAAATAAACAAATGAATCATTGAACAAGTCAAAAGTTCGGAGGCACAAATGATCCAGCTCATACTTCAGACACATTATGTGAAGAGCCAGTTTTTAGGAGAAAGTTCTAATGCTGGGAAAGGTGGAAGGGGAGAAGAAGGCAACCAATAGTAAAAGTCATCAGTTACTGTGGCAATGGGTACACCATTGTAAGAACTGAAGGACAAGGTTAAGAACAGATGATGACACCAATATGATGGCACATATTCAATCTAATCCCCTGTTCTTCTTATGAGTTTCTTCTAAAGTTTTCTAGGATGTGGTTTTCTGAAGTTCTAGTTCTTATTTTCCTCTTTGTTTTTCTTTTACGCCATCATGTCTTTCTTTAGCTTTTCTTGTTCAAACTAAGTCCAGGGTCCTTTAACACACACACACACACACACACACAGGTAAACAAGGAAAAGAACATGGATATGTAGACAAGTCTGACATACGGAAAAGTATATGCAAAATTATTCAGAAAAGTATATGCAAAATTATTTGTAAGCATGTTCAGCTAAATGTATGTATATATTTCCGGTTAGGAGCTCTGCAGCAAAACACGTAAGTCAAAGTGTTAAATAAAATAAGGTAATAGCAACTTCAGATGCTTGAGAATTTTAGTTGTTTGTTTTTTACTTGACAAAACAAAAAGACAAAACTTACCGGACAAAACTTTTACTTGACAAAACAAAAAGAACTTACAGGAAAATGTATTGTGCTTTATCATCAATCATGCATAAAAAAAAGGGGTAAAGCAGCAGAAAATATGATTCAGGAGAATTTCTAAGCTATGAACCTGAATACAACTTATCTAGAACAAGGTGACACTTTAAAACAAACAAACAAACAGTTTTATCCAAACACATTCAGCAAATGTTTCCAAAATAATAAATTAAAAACCCTGGAAGTCAGTATAAAAAAATAGGGCAAGAGATTTTCAATACATCTTAAATTTTTCAGGTTACCCATTTCTTCCTTCTGGTCTATAACTAGCATGATAAATTAGATTAGCATAATCGCTCTCTTGAGAATAAAAAATTATATTCTCCTAAATTTAGTTGCAGAAATTCATATCACAGCTTCATTTTATGGCTGTTTATAGTGACATATCCAAATTTATTATTATGTAAGGAAACTCAGAAAATATTTAAAAAGTATATGTGGTAAAAACAATATATATTTGTATATATTGTGCTGAGCAATACAAATACTATTATTAGAATGTTTAAGACTATAATTGCATATTTACCTCACAAAACTACCCATCTACTTGTTTGAAATAAATATGCAAATTAATGTATTCATTCTAGAGCAATGAAGCTAATGAAATATGAATTAAATTTTTGTATATATGACTGTAGCTACAAATGACTTGCAACCTGACTTGACAAAGGCTCATACTGTTAAAAATCTTCAGTGAAATTGTTCAACAATTTCTGTCAAAAGAACTGGACATTAGTAGATAATACTATCCTCATTAAGCAAATGTTTAAAGATTTAATTCTTGATAAACACCATTTTAATTAAAACAGCAGAGACTAATTCACAATGGGAAGTATAATCTATTGATAATAATTACCTGTGGACATAATGTAGCTGATGTACAGAATCAATGGCTACCACCATTTCAGCTAAATAAAAGCGAGCCATTTCTTCAGGCAACCGATCCTCAAACTTACTGAGCAAGGTAAGCAGATCTCCACCAACATAATAATCCATAACGAGGTACTAGGAATATAGAAAATAATTTTGATAGAAGTACAAATATGCAGTAAATATAATAAATCGGATAAGACTAAGAGCTGCTTTCTCAATATGATTAGGGCAAGATAAATCTTCTGAAAATAAGTTCTTTGTATATCCTCCATTATATAACACCTGTTTCAAAATCTTTGCTCAGTCCCAATATTTTTCTTTTCTAGAGAAAGATTGGACCAAACACAACAGCCTTGCTATTAACCAAAAATATTCTATTGCTTATTCTTCCCCTATATCTATCCGACACCTGCAAATACAAAAATAAAGCATAGCAATATCTAATCACTTGAAAAACTGGAGTGAGACATAAATGTCACACTTTTCCTCAAAGATATACAAAAAGGCAACTTCAAAAGTATAATTAATTTACATATAGTTAATTTATAAAAAAATCCACTCCCATCAGTTCTTACAATCATATATTACTAAGATCTGATATATTTTGACTGCAGAATTTTTGAAAAAAGGAATAAAATGGGCAGATTTTTGAAACTGTAATTACATTCATACATAATATTCAAACATAACCAGAGGTGGTATTCAGCAGGTTCTGACCAGTTCTGGAAAATTGGTAGCGGAAATTTTGGGTAGTTCTGAGAACCGGCAAATACCACCTCTGACTGGCCCTGCCCCATTTATTCTCTGCCTCCCAAGTCCCAGCTGATTGGCTAGGTCTTCTTTTGTTGCCCTGCACAGGAGAACAGAGCTGGAAAGCAGGTTAGTGGGATGGGGAGGGAATGGGGATTTTGCAGTATACTTCCCCTGCTACGCCCACCACGCTATGTCTACCAAGCCATGCCCACAGAACTGGTAATAAAAAAATTTGAATCCCACCACATAAACTTTTAAAAAATAATTGGTCACACTTCACAAGTGGCTAATGTCTTTTGCTATGAAAAGCTGGCCAATCATGGCTTTTAAATCCTGCTAGAAGTAATGTCATGTGTTTCAATGTACTTTGTCCATTGTGAAATTGTCTCCAGATAATACAGAAGATATACCTCTTTGTCTATTCATAGGAACAACTGCTTGTATGGTGGCACGGCAGCATATTTGCCACTTAACTATTTGAATTATCAATAAACAGTAAGATACAAGCAAACAGGTAAATTAAAATTAGACATTATGTTCAAAGATTACTTTTAAGTAATACTCACTAAATAATTTTCATCCTGGAAGGCGTAGTGCAATGTTGTAATCCACTGATTATCCCCATTCACCAAAACATCCCTCTCTTCTCGAAAACAAGCTGTCTAAAGGATAGATAAATATAATTATTATAAGCAAAATGCAGAGTCATTTAGAGTTCTTTCCATTTAAACAATAATACTGAAGATGTAGGAAATAGAGTTGCCATGTAAAAAATAGTTTTTCATTACAACTATGACAATTCAAAGCAAGGAGGGTAAAAAATGTGGCTAAAATAATAAAATTACTTTTAAAATCATAAAAGTGTAACATTAGTTCTTAGAAAGTTACAGCTGCACATTAAAAATAGAAAGAACCATGAAACACAGCTACTGTACATAGTTTCAGTTAAAAGTCTAAGTAAATAATTCCTTACTAATGTCTCAAGTCAGGGTACTAATATCAAAAACACTCTATTTTGGATTGCCAAATAGTAAATTCTGCATGAATAGTAAATGAAACACCATCAGAATGGTATTCTTCCTATCTCTTAATTATTACAACTGATATAAGAAAAAGGACAATTATCAGGAGACTATATTCTGAATTTACCAACAGTTGGATTCATTGAATGATCTGTATTGTCCTGTTATAATAGAATATTAGTGACAATCAGAACCTACAATTAAGAATCCCACCAGAACTAAAAAGAAATGAAAAAAAAGTAAAAATACTTGAAGAAGAAATGTAACAGGTTTTTTTCCTAATTAAAATTAAATCAATTTTGGCAGAAGAACTTTTTTGGTGCATCAAACATTTTTAATCATTTAATGTGATTTTCCATCTTGATTTAAATCACTACGGGGCAAAAGTCAGTAAGTAAGTGATGGTTGTCTTCCCAAACAGATTTGGCAACATCAAAAAAGTAGGTAGGAATACAATAAGCATTTAATTTCTTGTCAAAAAGCTGACTTTGTTAATCATCCATTGGACACTGTGCAGATGATTTTAATCTAACAGCATGAACCAAACAGACAAAAATGGATGCCCAAATTTGGTGTATGCAAACTTTTATGGCAAGGTTCTAAAAACAGAAGGGATTTATTGGAAATTTAATCTGCATGTTGTCCTGTGATAAAACAGTTATTTGAATGTTTCTAAGATGAATAATCACATGTTTTGTATTCTAATTCTATATAAAAGAGCCCCATAGAAAAAAAAATCTAAAAAGCAGAGATCAAAACAGGGCAGAAGAATAATAAACCTGTTTTACAAGGTGATTAAAATAGACCGTTCAACAGAAATAAATTATGACAGCAACATATTGTAATATTTCATACTCTTTCAAGATATATTGCATTTAGAAATAATCTGGCTTTTTAAAAAATTTGTCAGATTCTAATTAAAAGAGAAGAAAAACTACAAACTTAATAGCCGTTTGACCATTCCTTGAGTCTTACCTCCGCTCTTTTCAGCATTTCCCATTTATTTAATATTTTCATGGCAAATACTTTGTCTGCATTTCTTAATTTCACAACAGCAACCTGCAAAAATTAATTTTTTAAAAAAGTAGGCATAAATATTAATTTCTCAGAATGCCACTGCAGATGCATTTGTAATCCCACAATTTATTTTAGTTATAAAAAATACAGGTAGCCCTCACTTAATGACCAGCTGCTTAGCAACCATTTGAAGTTATGATGGTCCTCTCCAGAACGACTTACAACTCATTTTTGAAGTTTTGAAGGCCACACACCCTCACCTCAATCAGATGATCACACTTTGGGTATTTAGCAACCATTTCACATTTATGGCTGCGTGCAGTGTCCTGCAATCAAATGACCATGATTTTTGGTGGCTTTTGCCAGTTTCCTATGTTTACTTTCGATTGGCAAAAAAAGCCCTTTGGGGAAAATGGACCATTTTAACAACCTCTGTGTTAACTTTACACTTAACACAGTCTTCTCTTAATGACCACTGCAAAAAAGGCCATAACATTGCATGCAATCACATGATGACCAATTTAATGTCCGCCAGAACTTACGAGTAGTTCCAGACCCAATTACAGTCATATGTTAAGGACTACCTGTATATCAGCATGGTGCAGAACTTGTGTTTCACAAAAACAGACTATATTACGATTTTTAATATTCTTCCTATATAGTGGACCTTAAAAGTTTGTGAACCGTCCTCACCTTTCTGCACAAATATGACTGAAAAATGTATTTGTTCCCCACAAAAATCCTAAAATTAGATAAAAAGAACCCAATTAAGCAAATGCCTCCATTATCGGCATGCTATAAGTGTCCCTCAGCATTGTTAACCAGCTGCAAATACCCAGTCTTCTATGCCAAGGCCCTCCAACCAGCCCTTCTAATATAGCTGCCAGCAAACTCTACAAAGGAAAAAATCCACTGGGGAAGAAATGCCAACAGCAAAGAGAATACACTACACAGAGTGGCCACAGAAACAATAAGCGCAGTTGGCACCAAGCCCAAAGGCATGGCAAACATGGTTAGCACAGCCAGGGTAAAAGCATGGCCCATCATCTGGCCCATTACTTCAGCCTCCAAGACAGCCCGAGCAGGTTCAAATCTTGGCCCAAGCCAAACCAAATCCGACCTTAATCCAGGTAACTGCCAATTGAAACTTGTTGTACAGCTATACAATTTAAGAGGACAATCCGTCTCTGGCTCCTGCTGTCTCCATTATACATAAACCTTTTGAAAAGACTTCCAATTCCTTTGCCCATCTGGATTTCTGTACACAAAATTATGTGTGGAAGCAAAAGACACATGGTGACACTGGTATGTAAGGAGATTTTTAGTGAAAGCATTGCCACAGGCATAGCTGTCCTTTCAATAATTGCCTTTCAATAAACATAATGTAAAGTCTTAAAAGGAGTGACAGGAGAAAAAAAAGCCATGGGGAAATTTTATTCTGGATACAACATTGATATTTGTTCTTGTTTTGGTAAAATTCAGTTAAGACTTATATTTCCTGCATTCTTAAAAATTCTTAATACTAAAATACATTCTGAGGATATTCCAAAGAAGTATTTAATATATTAACTTCCAGTCCAGGCTTGAGCTCAAGTAATAAGTTCATACTTTGTAAGGCAAACTTTGATGATAAATTGTCTTTTAATGTTTTATGATATTCTGACGTGTCAAAGACACATACAAAACAGAACACAATACACACACAGAAAGAGATGTGACTTTGTGAAAGTGATCTTATTTTATTTTTATTCAATATAAAAAAGAGAAAAAGGAAAGGAAATGGTGGGAAGCCTCAAAAGTACACATTTCTCATAAGCAAAACAGATTACGTTACATTACATTTTATTATAATGTATTCAGGTAATTAACATTTAACTAACGTTTCTTAACAATGGGATATTAAAGTATATTTATAACTAATATATTTAGTTATTTAAAAGATTTACATTTTGTTCTATGAAAGCAGTCATTTTATTTATTTTTCTAGAAATGTGCATACACAAAAACAAAATAATGTTTAAATTTAAAAAAACTGTTTAAAAATTAGAAAAGGCAATCTTGAACAAGCTTTAAAAAAAGGAGAGGGGAGAGAGAGTCGTTATGCTACAGAGGGTCTTTATGTTATAGGAATTTTGTGTCTGACCGTTTTGCTGCACTTTAATCAACTTTCTGATAAGATGCCCAAATACAAGAATAACAGTATCATTTTTTTAGCCATTTCCTTTTTCTTATTTATTAAGTTTCAATCTCTAAATAAACAGGATACTATTATTTGAAAACAAACAAATGCAAAAATCAACAGGAAACAAGTAATTATAATCAGGATTAGAAAATAAAGCTGCAAATATAGTGCTTCTAGCTTTACAATAGAGAAAATACCACCAAAGCCTTCAGCTGCCGAAAGAATTATGGATAATATAAATCAGTTGCTCACATCCTCATGTGTCTCCTCCAAAGGATAATTAAGGCCATATATTGAGCACAGTTCAAAGATTCTAATCGATAGTAAAATAGACATTGTCTGATAAAGCTTGGTTGAACAGCAATTTTACTTTGATTCAATCCTATTAAATAAACTGTTAATTTTTCAGGCTTTCTTGCCTTAATTAATGCAGGTCCAGTAATATAACTTATATAAGAATAACTGGCATATTTCTTCTTTGTCTTCATCCAAAAAGAGCCAATATTATCTGATGTAAGAATTTTCCACCCCTTCTGTTTCCTCTTAAAAAGATATGTCTAAAAACTATATAGTAGACTCCAAAATGATTGACGTGCCTTATTTTCTTGTACATTTAATTTAGTGCATTCTAATAAACAGTGTATAAACAGTTACTATAGACTTATAATTTTATAAATGCACATCTTTCAGGAAGTTTTAAACACTTTGAGCTGCCAGCTCATATCTATACACCAACTGTAACTATAAGTGACATTCTTGATATAGCTCAACAAACAATAAAAATAAGGATATAATTTAATGCTATTATTTGATCTATAAGCTGCTCCTGCTGAACCTGTTGAATGTCCAATTCAGGAGACACGAAGTCAAGAATCACATGAGGTTGGTCAGCATGATCAGTGATGCAGCTGCCAAAAAAGTCATAACAATCCTGATTTAAGAAACAGCACTGATCTATGATCCCTTGTTTCTGCCTGATCTCTGGCTTTCGTGTTATGATTATATGGATACTGCTTATGGAATTCTGACATCCGGATTGGCTGGCATCCTTGACCTGGCTCCTGGAAGCTTGGACTGAATTTTTACTATTCTTCTGTGTGGTCCTGTTAAAAGCAAAACGAATCAGGAAAAGCTTCTTTCAAAGACTGGTCATTGGTAGAAGTTACCGTGAATGCCCTTTCTATCTATGCTGCGAGAGAGCCCAGGATGGGTTGACTCCTTCCTACGATGTCATAGCTGAGTCTGTACTAAGATATAAAAGCCAGCCCCCAGGAGAGACCCCAGCTTTGGCGAAGATACTTGACAGACTGAAAGGTGTCTCTGAAAGCCCAAAATAAATACAGAAATATGTCTTACCCTCTCCGGATGAATCAAGGGAGGGGCTGGGCTCTCTCGCAGCATAGATAGAAAAGGTGTTAACGGTAACTTCTACCAACGCCCATTTTCCTCCATGCTGCCTTGAGAGCCCAGGATGGGAAATACCAAAGCTTGTATGTCCATGGGTGGGTCCTCGTCTGGTTCATCACACCGACTGTGGAACCACTCATTGAAGCACCTGTCTGCCGAAGGCTGCAGTTGCCGAGGCAAAAGCATCCAGATGGTAGTGTCTGATGAAAGGAGACGGGGATGTCCACGTGGCCGCACGACAAATCTCCTCCAAGGCAGCAGAATTGGCTGCATTTCTGGTAGAGTGCACCGTCAGACCTCAGGGAACCAGAAGGGCCGCAGTTTTGTAGCTCTCCTCAATGTAAGACCTGACCCACCTGCTAATAGTAGGAGAAGAGGCCTTGTGCCCCAAGTGAGAAGGGAAAACGGAAACAAACATGGCTTCCAACTTCCTGAAGGAGGAAGTGTGCTTAATGTATATTCTAAGAGTCTTTCTTACATCTAGCATGTGCCACTGCCGCTCTAAGTCATGGTGCAGGAGAGGACAGAAATCAGGCAAAACAATGTCCTGGGACCTGTGAAACCAGGTGTTAACCTTCGGAATAAATGAGGGGTCCAGACGAAGAACAACCCTATCATCGTGAAAGGTCCTGTCTGATGGAAAGAGCAGGAAGCTCGGAAACCCTCCTGGCAGAAGTGATGGCAACAAGGAACACTACCTTCACAGTCAGGAAACGGAGAGACACTGTTCTAAGGGGTTCAAAGGGGGGCTTTGTAAGGGCATTAAGGACCAAATGAAGGTCCCAGGAAGGATACCTGTGAACCACTGGAGGGTGCAGTTTGGAAGCCCCTTTCAAAAACCTCCTTACTGAAGTGTGATGGGATAAGGAAGGAAGCGAACCCCATGAAAGGGCTGAGGAGAGCGCCGCAACCTGCCTGTGTAAGGTGTTGGGGGCCAAACCTTTCTCCAGCCCATGCTGAAGGAAACCAAGAACTTCTGCCAACTGGGCTGAAGCAGGAGAAAGACCCTCCCCGAGGCACCATCGAGAAAAAGCCTTCCAGGTGGCATCATACATGTGCCTCGTAGAAGGATTGCGAGAAGCCAGGATAGTAAGGATGACCCTTTCTGGAAGATCAGCCTCCTCTAGCCACTGCCGCTCAAGTACCACACAGTCAGCTTGAACCACTGGGGCTCTGGGTGGAGCAGGTCCCCCTGGTGAAGGGAGATTAGATGGGCAGGGATCCTCCAAGGAGAAGCTACCGATAGGTTGACCAGGTCAACAAACCAGGGCCTCCTTGGCCAATAGGGTGCCAGGAGGAGCTCCGCACGTTTTTCCAACCTCTTCCGAATTATTTCTGGAATGATGGGAAGCGGGGGAAAGGCGTAGAGGAGACCCTTGGGCCATCTGCACCGAAGAGCATTGGTCCCCTCTGCTCCCTGGCAAGGAAACCTGGTGAAGAATCTGGTGACTTG